TTTGCTTTATAGAACGTGAAATATCACGCTCTAAAAATTTTAAATGCGGTGGAACAATAATTATGAGAGTCAGTGTACATAGTGGCAACATCTTACAGGACACTTTGCATAGTGCATATATTGCCGATTTAGGACTTTCTATATCATCCGATATAGCACTAGAGACAAGGTCCGCTGGGGTTTATGGAGTTCTATTATACATGGCACCAGAAGTTTTAATGAAAGGAATATATACGACATCATCAGATATTTATTCATTTGGTATAATTATGTGGGAAATTTTACATGGGCAACCAGTTGCTTATGAACAAAAAATTGGACCAGAACTTCAAATAAAAATATGTGATGAAAATTTACGACCAACAATTTCCGAAAACACACCACAATGTTATATGAATTTAATGAAAGAATGCTGGGAACGAGAACCAGATAAACGACCATCAGCAGAAAAACTCTGTGAAATTTTTACAAACTGGCAAAGTGATGAAAATATTCTACTTGAGCTTAATAAATTTAAAAGTAATCGTACACAGGCACATCCAGAAACAAATTATAGAAGCAAATTTATTCATTATACTTCATCGTTTTATCAAGGTAAATAATGTATTTTTTATTTATTATATAAGTCTATTATTTTAAAATACAGTTTACCAATTTATCTATAGATAGTAGACTAAGTAAAGAAACAATTCCGATACTGATAGGCGAGCCCGTTTGAAAAGTTAATTAAGTCGTAATGGTCCTAATATATTAATAAAATAAACTTAAGAGAAATCTTATTCTTACTTAATCTTTTAGAAATGCTTTAAGAATTTGTTTTTACTAAGTAGTGCGACTTATTCTCCGCATATTTTTTAATCTATGCAAGGTTTTTTGTTTGTTTTGTTAGTGCAGTTTTATAGGAAAATTCCAAGCCATTTTTTTTTCTTAATTTGTCGAATATGATTGATGTTTATTATCCGGAGCGTAGCAGAGGAAATCCTGAGCTGCCGATCAAAAAATATGAGTTGGTAAAGATGGGCGAATCGCGGTTTTTCAAAAATTCCCGCGCGTGACGAATTTCCTTATGTTGTTACGGGATAAAAAGGTGTGGATCCGGAAGATAGGGTCGGAGCTGCGCCTAAAATGTAAGGAGGTGATGTCTAGTTAACAGATAAGGTAATTACTGCACCTATCATTGCGCTGTTACACAAAATGTAATGATGACGAGTGGTGACGAGAACGATGGCAAGAATGATGACGAGAGTGATGACGAGAATGATGATGAGAATAATGTTAGAATATAAAGAAAAGAGACATGTCATGTTATAATAGAAACCAGAGTAAATTAAAATAACTTATCTTAGCCTTAAAAAGCTAATTTTTATAAAAGAGCAGTAATATCTTCTTTGTAAAGGAGGCTCCTGGGCGGGACCATAATCATAATCTAAAAACTCCTTACAATGAACTGTACATAAACCTTAAAAATAAAAATTAATAAAGTTAGAAATCAAACCTCAATATCTATAATAAAATTATTGTTAAAACATAAATATGAATTAAGTAATAAACTTCATACCAATTCACTAATATCATGCCTTTGGTAATAAGCTTTAAACTGTGAGACTAATCCATCTGCCTGTAACATTTGGTGGTGACTGAGATTTTAACTTCTAACAAAAAAAAAAGAAAACTTTATTAAAATGAATGCAGATCAATTCAAAGAGTTTATGGAGATGATGACTAAGTTCTTTTCTAAGAATAAGCCTAGTATTAAAAAAACAGTCTTGTAAAAATTATGAATTTTTATAAGACAGATGATGAAGATGCTATTGAATGATTTGATGATTTTGAATAAGTAGCTGAAGTTAATAATTGGACTGAAAGTTGAAAGTTGCAAATCATGTTGGTTTATCTGAAAAAAAAATAGTAGCAGATTAGTATAAAGAATATAAAAATGTAATTAAATACTGTCAGAAAGAAAATAGAAACTAAGAAAAAGAGTGATGGGGTCTTGTAATCTAGTAGTCTAAGCACTCCTTCCTTCACAGACAAGGTCAATAGTTCAATTTCAGCTGGAGGTAAAAACTCTGTAATCATTGAAAGCATATGAATATATATGAAGTCTTATGATTAAGTTTATGTAAATAGAAGATCAGTATATAAAAAAGTTTCAGAAAGAAGTTTCCCAATATAGAGAGTTGCCATTTAATATGAGAGAAGTAATGAACATATCAGAAATAGAAAGAAAGTACACTAGCAGATAATACAATGAACATAAAAAAGAAAACTATAAAAAAGAAATGGATTTATCAAAATTTGAATATTTTTGACACCAAATTAGTTCTAGTAGATACAGGATCTACTAAAATTGGATAAATCTAAGAGGTAATTTTAATACCATACTTAGTAAATTTGTGTTGAGAGTAAATTTAAAAGAACTATAGATATTTAGTAATATTCAATAAGGTAGTACTTAGATATAAATAGTAATTAGATAGTTCTAATCTGTTCTGTCTCAATAATATTAATATATCATATTTCAGATATATGTAATAAGTGTTGAAAATCTGAAAATTTAAATAGGGGATTTATAGATAAATCTCAGATATGGCATCTAGTGATAGCCTATGGGCAGAACTCTTAATTGGATAATAACTAAAATTATACATGTGACTAGTTGTATTTCATTGATATATATTGTATATAAATATGTAATTATATATTATTAATAATAAATAGAACATATAGGCAAGATCATTCTTGAAAAAAAAAAACAAGAAAAAGAAAGTTTCTATCACTTATTAGTAAAAAGTTTTGTATTTTAAAAAGACAACACTGTTGACCAAATGAGTCAAATAATTTTAAACAAAAAGAGTAAAAAAAAGTAAACACTTATATTACAAAATTTAAAATATTGCTTAGTAGAGTAAACTTTGATAACAGCCTCCTAAATGGTTATATTGTGAGAATTTTTTTAAGTAGTTTAAAAAATAAAAATATAATTTTTGTTATTGTAACTGTACCCAAAAGTCTAAATAAAAGTTATTGCCATAGTACAAAGAGTTAAAGTGAAAGACTATTATGTATAACCAACAAGTGAACAAAGATCTTAAAATATTATAGAATAAAGCAGAATTAAAAGATATAAAGAAAAGAATAGATCAGATAATATTAAATTATACAATATTAGCTAATAAGTTAAGAATTATAAACAAGAAACATCTATACTCTTTATGAGAATAGCACAAAAATTTCAAATATTATAATTGCAGTAAACAAGATCATATATCAAGAAATTGTCTTTCTGAAAAAGAGTACCAACTGGAATCAAAGTAATAAACAGAATATTTAGCATTATTTTAAAGATATTAGTTTATATAAGTTAGTTTAGAGCTATTGTTATTAAAGATAAGACAACTATAAAATACTCAAATAATCTGAATTGAATAAGTAAATTAAGAAATAAGAAAATAACAAAAATGTTACCAATTGAGAAAACTATTAAAAGAAGAAAAATAGTAATTAATAATAAAACTACAAAAAAAACACTTCTATTACAACAAATAAAAATAAGAAAAGACTTAGTTTCTCTATAGTAGATACTCTTAAACTATATAGCTTTGCTAATAACATTTTATATCTTCTTACTAGTATCATAATAGGTCAGATACTTCAATATTCTAACTAGTAAAGAAATCTGACCAAAGTATTAAAAAAAACATAATTATCACTTAAGACCAATTTTATAAACTTCAAAAAAAAATTATCAAATGATTGCAGTTAGATATTATATAAAAATTTATAATAATCTACTAATAGCAGTCTTAGATTTAGAAGCAGTTTAAACATTATATTAAAAAAGCTACTAAACAAACTTAGTTTGAAAATTAATAAAAAAAATCTATTACAGTAGTAGTAATAACAACAAGAGCCAGAACTAAAACACTAGAAAAATAAAAAATATAAAAATAATAGTTAAAGGCATTATAATACTTACTATCCTACAAGTTCTAAAGTTATCAGAAGAAACATTACTATTAGAAACTGATTAGTTCCAAAAAGTAAATGCTAATATACATTTTAATAAGCAAAAACTATATTTAACATATCTAAACTAGTTAGCAAAAATCTTGATATTAAATACTAGAACAAAAATAAAAGTGATTAATAAAAAGAAAAAGGGTTTAGTAGTGATAACAAAGATATATTCAATAAATTTAAATACAAAAAGAAAAAGGAATTTAATAAAACCAAAGATTTCTTTACTGAAACCTGGCTTATAATATATGAGGAAAACTTTGCTTTATACTTGACTAATATAGAAGAGGTACTAAGTAAAGATAAAAAAACCAATGAAAAGTTATTTAAAGAGAAACTTAAAAAAATTTCCAATAATAAAGTACTAAACCTAGTATAATAAGAAAAGGTTTAAACCTTTTTAAATCAAGAAAAAAATTCATTTCTCAAATCTAAAAGGCTTAGGACAAACCAATATTATTATGCATGCTATTAATACAGAAGATATGATACTAATTAAACAAAACTTTTACAGACTAACCCAAAAAGATAATAAGTTTGTAAGAGAAAATTTGGTAAAATATTAAGTAAAAGATTAATTAAAGATGCAATTATTTCTTGAGCCTCTTCTATTATTATAGTGCCAAAGAAAAGTGTAAAATTTTGATTTTGTATAGATTACTAAAAGTTAAATTTGGTTACAAAGAAAGATACTTATCTTTTCTCTAATATTAATAATCTTCTTAATACTTTTAAAGGTACAGAATGGTTTTTCATCTTAAATTTAATAAGTAGTTACTGGCAGATATGAATAAAAAAGAAAATTAAAGAAAAAACAACATATATTACAAAATATAGCAGCTACAAATTTAATGTAATGTCATTTGGACTTTGTAATACATCTGATATATTTTAAAGACTAATAGATAAAGTTTTATATAAATATATTAAAGAATATGCTGTTGTCTATCTAGATAATATAAATATATATTTCAAAACACTTAAAAACTATCTTAAACATCTAAAAATTGTCTTTAATAAGTTACAAAATGCTGAATTAAAACTAAACCTAGAAAAGTGTAAGTTCTTTTAATCAGAACTCAACTATCTTGATCATATAGTTAGTAAGAAAAACATAAGACTTGACAAAATCAAAATCAAAAAAATAAAAAAACTTCTGATACCAATAAATCTTTATTAGCTAAGAGAATTTATTAGTTTAGTATTATACTATTGAAGGTTTATAAGAGGGTTCATAATGACAGCCTATTCATTATATAAACTTTTAAAAAAAGATACATCTTATAAATAAGTTAAAAAACAACAACATACATTCAAAATTCTAAAAAGATACTTAATAATAGCATCTATCTTATAATATACAGAGTTTAAAGAAATGTTTTACTTATATACAGACATTTTAAATACTGAATTTGATGCTATCTTAGTTCAAAAGAATAAGAATAATAAAGAATATATTGTAGCTTATACTAGCAGAAGACTTACAAAGACTAAGTATAACTATTCTGTACTAGAGTTTAAATGTTTAGTAATGTTATAGGCTGTTAAGCATTTTTACTATTAACTAAGTACAAAATATTTATATTAGTTACAAATTATGCTATACTTAATGGTTAAGTATCATTACATCTCTACAACTATATTATAGTTTACTAAGCAGGTCACAAACATTCAAATATAGATGCACTTTCTTATATCTAAAAAAAAAACCTGTTTAAAGTTTAGAATTACATATCTGTAAGATGTGTACAAATAGCTTTAGTATTGGTATAATAATAAACATTATGCAAAAAAAGAATATAAGCTTTATCTATAAGATATGTTTAAGCCTGATCTAGCAGAATTACTAAGTACTACATAAGAAGAATAAAAGCACTTTTGATAGTATAAAAGAAATTTAATTAAAAATATAATTTTTTTTTTAAAATTCAATCTGATGATAAAATTAATTTAGTTTAGGTAGTTAGTGTCTTAGCAAAAATGGAATTGATTAGATATTAGCAATTAAAGACCTATATAAATGAACAAAAATTACCTTATATCTTTTCTTTCTAACAATAAAATATTATACAATCTCAAAGCAAATTATTATAACAAAAAAAGTATTAATTTATAAAAAAGATAAATATAAAAAGAATGGGCTGTTACAAGTAATACAACAGCATAAAATTGAACTAATTTTATTTTTAACTTATACTTATTTACTTTGAGAACATTTCAGAAAGGATATAATGTTTAATAAGATCAAAGATATATACTATTTGCC